CGTTACCCGATTTATGGCATGCCGTTTTCGTCACCCATGAGTAGGGACTTGGATTGGGGGCTACTCTTCAAGAAACCAGCGCCCTCCAAGATTCTAGAAGAAGACAGGCATTTGGAATCCATGGACACTGCTGTTCGTCACCAGCTACAACCGCTTGCTATGCTGTCGACAGCGATCGAGGCCCTCTCAGTGTACTTTGAGGAGAAAGAACCCCAGGATGAGGACGACAAGACGGTGCCATCGGTCCTCACCTGTATGGTGGATCTCGGACGTCCTCGCCCAGTCGCGATATGTATTGGGCCAGATTACTACGGTATGTCGCCATGGTTACATCGACTGCACTGAACTACCTGATCGTCATGGCAGGTCACTCTTACGGGCCCCATGGTCATCGCAACAGTTGTTTGACGGTCGTACAAACGAAGTTCTGGACAAGTACTCCAGGGAAGCCGAGTGTGACATCATCATTTCGGCTTCACACAACCTGTCCATACGGCCACTGGTTTCGAACGCCCCACGACGACGTTACTGAAACGAGAATGTGCAACTCGCCTTTTGTAGGGACATGCCTGGACAGCCGTCCAGCAAGAGAGATTCGGACTGGAAAGGTCGCCAGGTCTCCTTTTCCAAGGATCCCAGAGGGGAAAAGAGCCAGCGGGGGAGGAAGTGAGGTTTCCGCCGTCACCGTCGTTGGAGTCTCCCCCGGTGACATTTTCACATGGATCATGAAGCCGGTTGTAGAATGTCTCCATCAGGGTCGCCTTCTACCTAGACGACAGGCTCCAAGCTTACCAGTTCACAGAAGCCCTTCAAGAAGAGTTGGCGACCACCCTGAGTCTACTACGGTACCTCGGGTGGATTGTCAACCTTCAAAAGTCGGACTTGGTACCAACTCAGGATCTACAGTACATCGGGATACGCTTCCAGACTGGGGTCAATCTGGTCACGGTACCTCAAGACTGTTGGGACAAGATTGTCAGCAGCATTCCGAGACTTCTACATGCCCCGGCGTCTGTGCACACGTGGCAGGAAGTCCTCGGTCTGTTGACATCGGCCCAAGACCTGACTCGCCGAGGTCGTCTTCAACTTCGTCCGCTGCAGAGATTGCTGTACCCCCACCTGGAGTTTCCCAATCTCCTGTTTCCACTTCCGGGGCAGCTACGTTGTCAGCTGGAGTCGTGGCTCCAGCCGTCGAACGTTTGCGAAGGCGTCTTTATGAGCGAGCCTCCGTTCATACTACACCTATTCGTAGACGCGTCATTGGATGGCTGGGGAGCGCACTTCGGGGACGACCAAGTGGCCGGGCTGTTGTCGCCAGAAGAAAAGGTCCTCCACATCAACTGCCTCGAGATGGAAGCAGTGATTCGGGCGGTCGAGTTCTGGAAACTTTGACTCCGTCGGAAACGGCTGATGATACAGTCCGACAACTCCACAGTCGTCCACTGCATCAACAAACAGGGAACGACTCGGTCGGCGGCCCTTCTGGACCGGACATTCAGGTTCCTCGCCCTCGTCGACGACTTGGACATGGGCGTACGTGCCCGTCACATCCCGGGGGCCAAGAATGTGATAGCCGACGCCCTGTCGAGACCATCGAGGCTGTCTCCCACGGAGTGGATGATCCATCTGAGAGTCTTTCATCTGCTGACAGATCGGCCAGAACGTGGTTCCCGGAACTTCTTCAGATCATCAGTCATCTACCGTTCCCGTTGCCAGACCTCCTTCTTCATCCTCACACCGACGACTTGCATCCGGGGATAAAGAACATCCAGCTTCACGCCTGGGTTTGCTAAAGACCTCGTTAATGAAGAAAGGTTATTCGGCACATCGAGTTATGACTCATAAGCTGTACGATGACAAGTGGACCACTTTCTCCATTTTCGCCAGGTCTCATGGCTTCAACCCGGCTGTAGCAACCCCACCACCGGTGGCGGAGTTCCTAGTCTATCTCTGGTCATCTCGGCGTCTGAAAGGGTCGACGATCTCGACTTATCTGGCAGCTTTGGCGTCAGTGGTGCCGTCTCCTACGGGCGACAAGCTCACTAAAGTACCGGAGTTGCAGAAGATTCTACGTGCCTTCATGGTTGAAGATCAGTCACGTAAATTCAGACCGCCGGCCTGGGACCTCGATGTCGTTTCTGCGCAACCTGTCTAGTCAGGCTTACAAGCCTCTAAATGAGGTCGCGTTCGACTTATTGTCTCAGAAAACGGCTTTCCTTCTCTCGCTGTCTACGGATGAGGTCGCGTTCGACTTATTGTCTCAGAAAACGGCTTTCCTTCTCTCGCAGGCTACGGCAGCGAGAGTATCGGAAATACATGCCATTGACGTCGGTCGGATTACGTTAGATCAGCGTAACCATGGCAAGTCCATCTTGGTCTCAGATGGGATATTTTAGCGAAAAATTAACTTCCTGGCCAAGATTCGAGAATGTTCCACATTCCTTCCTTGTCTGCCATTATGGGCCCTCATGATCATGCTGATCTCACCCTGTGCCCAGTTCGTGCGCTTCGGATTTACCTGCAGCGATCTGAACAGCGACGACACGTAATACTCTCTCCTTTTGGTTGAGAGTGGTAATTCTCGGAGCTTACGAGGCGCAAGGACTCGCACCTCCCACCTTCTCTCATCCACACGAAGTTCGAGCCATAGCTTTAACATTAGCACTGCACAGTAATTGTTCGCTGCAAGCTATTATGGAGTGCTGCTTTTGGAGATCTACTTCAGTGTTTGCTTCGCATTATCTCAGAGATATCTCAACAGAAGATGTTGAAGGACTCAAACAGTTTGGTCCACTCATGGTGGCACAACAGATCTCTCAAAAAAGACAGTGAATTTGTGCTTTATTCACTTTGGACTTTTTGCTTGACGCTTAGTGCCATATAAAATGTTACAATAAAAGCTGTTGGTGAATGTACGCATTCTTATGGTTTTTTGTTGCGTGCAGTACTTTAGCTTTTTTATTATGGTTATTCAGTGTATGCATCGTCTTCCCATACTTTATAGTACTGCTCGTATTTTTTAGTTACCTTGTATACTGCGAGTTGCTCTGTAACTAAATTATGCGCCGACCACACTTCGATCGCAGTTCAACTGACGTGTGAATTGGTTGTGTGTCGAAGAGCATTAACCATGCTATTTTTAGTTACCTTGACTACGGCGAGTTGTTCTGTGACTAAATTTTACGCAGACCACACTTCGATTACAATTCAGCTGATGTGTGCAGTTGTCCTGTCGCATCGATAGTTACTTGTGGGTCGAAGAGCATTAACCATGCTGTTTTAGTTACCTTGTATACTGCGAGTTGCTCTGTAACTAAACTATACGTCGACCACACTTCGATCGCAGTTCAGCTGACGCGTGCAGTTGTCCTGTTGCATCGATAATTAGTTGTGTGTCGAAGAGCATTAACCATGCTGTGCATTCGTGATAAACAACTTGTCTCGTCCGTGCATCTCGTCGAATGTTCTATTGTCACTACAGGGGTGAGGAACTTGGTACATTCGACGTGAAAGAGGTCACTTCCTGATTACTTTCCCGACCTTCCTTTCAGTGTTCCTTCGAATTCTACCCATTTGTATGACTGAAAACAGACTAAAACATGGTTTTTTCAGATTAAAAATGATGTTTTATTGGTCTGTTTTCAGTTGTACGTTCCGACCCAGCCATCCCCACAGGGAAGTAATCCAGTCCAGTCCTGTATGATGGCTTATTCTTCGAGATTTGTGACATGTCATAGGGAGGTGCGTGCGCAACCGGACGGAAACAAGTTTAATGTTTACATTCCAGCTTCTGGCTTCCTTTTAAACATGAGACTAGACGTGAGGGTATGAGAGATACCCATTTGTCTGAAAACCCCATGTTTCTTTTTACAGTTATAAGAGAACGAGCGACCATCTCCTTGATCTCGTCAATAATGCAGTTCAGAGAAAGAGATCAACACCACTTTCCACATTTGTACCTTCCTCTACTGGCACACGAATGCCACCCTCCTCTACCGCTGGAACACCAATGCCACCCTTATCTACTGCTGGAACACCAAAGCCACCCTCCTCCGTATCATCCACAGGTGGTCTGACTGTTTTCTGCCCGCTGGAAATTTGTCTTGAGCGGAATGGATCCAAACTGACATTTAAAATGTAACCCTGGATAAATAAAGTTTGCCCAAGTGAGAAAAAAACGAAACAACAATATGCACACTCCCGACTTTGTTATGTCTTTCGAATAGCTCGTCAATAGTACAGAACTATTGAAGAGCTATTGAAACCAGTGACGAATTGTTGAAACTATTGACGATGCGGATGAAAGTATTGACGAGCATTCCAGAAACTAATGAAGCATAATTTAGGTTTAATGATGGTTATAATGATGGTTTGAACACGTACAGGATTTGAGCACAGAGTGATAATGATGGTTATAACATGTACAGGATTTGAGCACAGAGTGATAATGATGGTTATAACATGTACAGGATTTGAGCACAGAGTGATAATGATGGTTATAACATGTACAGGATTTGAGCGCAGTGATAATGATGGTTATAACACGTACAGGATTTGAGCATAGAGTGATAATGATGGTTATAACGTGTACAGGATTTGAGCATAGAGTGATAATGATGGTTATAGCACATACAGGATTTGAGCACAGATTAAAGTCTTTTTCTGGTTAAATTGTGGAATACTGTGTATTACACACTTCAGTGTTTGAAAGGTTGTTTTGTATTGGTGATGTATAGTGATCATTGTTACACAGCTAATGAATATTCAAAACTTACACTCAATGATTATATTATGATCAATCAATAGGTAATTAGAACTACGCGTCATATCAAAGTTATTGTAAAGATAATGGCAGATCATTTCCTCATACAAATTTCAATGATTGATGTCACCAAAATATGATTATGGTACAATGATATGTTGAGTTGTGTGACATTTTGATGACAAGATGAGGCTGTTTGTGTGTGTGCCATCTCGCTACTTCTGTTTGTTGTCTGCAGGCCATGGCTGAGTCGGAGAACCAGGTGCCGGACATGATTTGTTTGTGTGGCCGCATCTACAAGGACAAGTTCATAGAGTCGGACTATTCTGACCTGTCTGCTCTCGCACATGCCGTTGAGTGGTAGGTTTCTAGTCAGTTCATTGAACTTCCTCAACACTAAATCCTTGGCTAGTTCTGATTCATAAATACTATAAACACTAAAAAATAACATAAAGCAAAAGTAGATATATGGAGAGCATGCTACGTTAAGTGGCTACAGTATTGAGAGGTGTGTTGTGCAGGTATCGCAAGGGCTTCGAGGTGCAGCCTAATGAATATGCTGGCATCAACCTTGCCACTCTCCTTGTCATCTCAGGCAATGACTTCGCTTCCTGTCAGGAATTACAGAGAATCGGTGAGCTATAGTTTTGTTGTTTCTATGGAAAGATGAGGGTTACATTGACCTGTGGTAGAGGTAGAAATCTGTTAAAATGGCTTGATTGACAATGCCAAACTTTCTTCTTCAAACAGATATGTTCTGCATAAAATTGTGGATTGCTTAAAATAACCCAGGACTTTTCTACACTACTTCAGATAATACATTGGAATTTAGCTAAGTTACACAATTTACATGATTTAGGGATTGATGTCAACATCTGTAAAAGTATTAAATGTTGTAAAGTGGATAGTTTGGCAACTGAGATTGGATCTATGGTAACTCTCATATATGGATGTGTGTGTTTGTCCTCTTTACCTCACAAAGATGTCCGTTTATGTTGGCAGGTATTATTTTAAACAACCTGATTGGCAAGAAGGGAAGTCTGCAGTCCCTCACAGACTACTGGGATGTGGCAACCTTCTTTGAGATCAGCGTATTAGCTGAGGATTATGGGAAGGCGGTGCAGGCTGCAGAGTGCATGTTCCGACTGGAACCCCCTGACTGGTAGGACAATGGTTGCATGTACAACACACATCAGAACATGGCTGCAGTTTACATACATGTGTATACATGTGTGATTTGAGTTTAGGGGAAGAATATAAGTCAGAGGGTGCTAGGTCAGGAGAGTAAGGGGTATATAGGGGAAATAACTCAAGCCACAATCTATAACTGACACTTTTGATGTGTGCACAGGCACTTTGTCCTGAACAGAGCTTTCTTGACGTGTTTCCTTGATAGCTTCTCTCAACTGACATAGTTTTGTGGCACAGTATTGCCCATTGATAGTATGACCTTGTTGCTGATAGTTGATCATGATTATCTCCTAACTGTCCCAGAAAACAGTGACTTTACCCACTGTCACCACCCACTTGTACTTCTCTGGAGCGCTTGAGGCCAAATGTTTCCACTGTTTGACTCTAAATCGAAGTGATGGACCGAGGTCTCATCCTGGGGTATAATGCACAACAAACATTCTTGGTACTATAATGTCTGTGATATGATGAATTGTTGTATGTCAATCAGCCATAACTATGCAGTGGACAGCCTCCACTCGGGTTTCAGACGTGACATCTTTTGGACGACCAGGGCTAGGGTCATCTTCTGTGCTACTTATGCCTCAGTTAATTCAGCAGCACAATTCCTTACAGTTTAATATGAAGGGCAGTCATCCCCAAGCATGCTTTTCATAGCTTTGTGTATTCTATACCTCTACAATAGTAATATATAGTCCTTGTGCTCATTCTCTCCTGCATTGGTCCACCACTCAGTATAACATTCTTTACTAAACAGCCCCCTGGAACTGAACATCAACTGGTTGTATATTCAACCATTTAAATTGTCTGCAAAAGCAGTCACTTAAGATAGTTGTCAGCATTCACAAAAACATGCCAGATATGATTTGTAACTCTCTTATGGCAGAGGGGTGGTTAAGCATATGCGTTCCTACATGGACACAATGTTTACTGATGTGCCCTGAATGCAAGACCGCCAAATGTTATTGAAACATCAATTTCTAGCTCTTCACATTATACGTTGTTGCAGTATAGGGTAGGGTATGTTATAAGTGGTATAAAACCAACCAGGGGACACATAAAACCCAATGTACTCCTCATGATCCTGTTACAACAAATTTATTTTCCTGACATGTTTTGATTTGACATTGTAAAAGAATTCAAACAACTTCAAAATTGATAGAAAACATTTGCTTGATTGAGCGTAGGTTCACTTGTGCTATGACATGTGACTTTCATTGACTCGGAAAAAGCAAGCGACTTGGAAGCAGGGTATAAGGGATTTATTCTGCCTCTCAGAAATCCAAATGCAGCCTGTCTAGCTCATGGTGGGGTATCAGGGATTTATTCTGCCTCTCAGAAATCCAAATGCAGCCTGTCTAGCTCATGGTGGGGTATCAGAGATTTATTCTGCCTGTCAGAAATCCAAATGCAGCCTGTCTAGCTCATGGTGGGGTATCAGACTCATAAACAATGTGCAGCTTTCTACTTGTAGCAGGGTGGAAGAAATATATTGTACGGCCAAGAAATGTATTAGTCATCCAAAACTGGCTCCCACAGGAGATATTTTTGGGGGAGATCAAGTGATATTTACATTGTAGATATGCTGCATTGAAATTGCATCACAATGCTTTAAAGACCATTGTGACGTCATTGGTTACCATGACATCACAATCAAATACCATCACTAATGGCTCTGCTACTGAAGCTGTTAGCAGTACTTTTTACACTAAGACACTGTTTATTACTGTCTACAAAATGAAAAAGTTGGAAGAATGATGTTGGTGTCTTTTGATATCAAATATATCACCACCCGTCGGTGAAAGTTTTAAACTTTTATCGACCAGTGTAGATATATTTGATATCAAAAGGCACTTGGGTGAGATTCTCCATTTCCCTCCCAGGCTGATACGTACTATTTTATCAAGATCACGTTTGGACGATGAAGGGAATAATGATGAGTAACACAGGAGCATTCTGGGAGCAAGGTGGTAAAAGGGTGTGTCCAAGTGAATTTTCTACATTGTTCTACACTGTTTTACGATTTAAGCAAGAAGGAATATAGCATGGTATAAACTTATGTCTATCTTGCCAGGTATCTAAAGTCTACAGTTGGGAATATCGCATTGATCAATCGCTTCAGAAGGACAGAGAAAGGAGGTGGCAGTGAGGACGAGAAGCAGGTACACTACTTCCTACACATAACTTCTCCCAGTACCATCTGTATACTGATACAGGTACACTACTTCCTAGACATAACATCCCCCCAGCACCACCTGTATACTGATGCAGGTACACTACTTCCTAGACATAACTTCCCCCCAGTACCATCTGTATACTGATACAGGTACACTATTTCCTACACATAACTTCCCCCCAGTACCATCTGTATACTGATGCAGGTACACTACTTCCTTGATATAACTTCCCCCCAGTACCACCTGTATACTGATGCAGGTACACTATTTCCTACACATCACTTCCCCCAGTACCACCTGTATACTGATGCAGGTACACTACTTCCTAGACATAACTTCCCCTCGTACCACCTGTATACTGATGCAGGTACACTACTTCCTAGACATAACTTCCCCCCAGTACCATCTGTATACTGATGCAGGTACACTACTTCCTAGACATAATTTCCCCCAGTACCATCTGTATACTGATGCAGGTACACTACTTCCTAGATATAACTTCCCCCAGTACCACCTGTATTCTGATGCAGGTACACTACTTCCTAGACATAACTTCCCCCCAGTACCATCTGTATACTGACTCAGGTACACTACTTCCTACACATAACTTCCCCCCAGTACCATCTGTATACTGATGCAGGTACACTACTTCCTAGACATAACTTCCCCTCGTACCACCTGTATACTGATGCAGGTACACTACTTCCTAGACATAACTTCCCCCAGTACCATCTGTATACTGATGCAGGTACACTACTTCCTAGATATAACTTCCCCCCAGTACCACCTGTATTCTGATGCAGGTACACTACTTCCTAGATATAACTTCCCCCCAGTACCATCTGTATACTGATGCAGGTACACTACTTCCTACACATAACTTCCCCCCAGTACCATCTGTATACTGATGCAGGTACACTACTTCCTAGACATAACTTCCCCCCTGTACCATCTGTACACCGATACAGGTACACTACTTCCTAGACATAACTTCCCCCAGTACCACCTGTATACTGATGCAGGTACACTACTTCCTAGATATAACTTCCCCCAGTACCACCTGTATTCTGATGCAGGTACACTACTTCCTAGACATAACTTCCCCCCAGTACCATCTGTATACCGATACAGGTACACTACTTCCTAGACATAACTTCCCCCAGTACCACCTGTATACTGATGCAGGTACACTACTTCCTAGATATAACTTCCCCCCAGTACCACCTGTATTCTGATGCAGGTACACTACTTCCTAGATATAACTTCCCCCCAGTACCATCTGTATACTGATGCAGGTACACTACTTCCTACACATAACTTCCCCCCAGTACCATCTGTATACTGATGCAGGTACACTACTTCCTAGACATAACTTCCCCCCTGTACCATCTGTATACCGATACAGGTACACTACTTCCTAGACATAACTTCCCCCAGTACCACCTGTATACTGATGCAGGTACACTACTTCCTAGATATAACTTCCCCCAGTACCACCTGTATTCTGATGCAGGTACACTACTTCCTAGACATAACTTCCCCCCAGTACCATCTGTATACTGATTCAGGTACACTACTTCCTACACATAACTTCCCCCCAGTACCATCTGTATACTGATGCAGGTACACTACTTCCTAGACATAACTTCCCCTCGTACCACCTGTATACTGATGCAGGTACACTACTTCCTAGACATAACTTCCCCCAGTACCACCTGTATACTGATGCAGGTACACTACTTCCTAGATATAACTTCCCCCCAGTACCACCTGTATTCTGATGCAGGTACACTACTTCCTAGATATAACTTCCCCCCAGTACCATCTGTATACTGATGCAGGTACACTACTTCCTACACATAACTTCCCCCCAGTACCATCTGTATACTGATGCAGGTACACTACTTCCTAGACATAACTTCCCCCCTGTACCATCTGTATACCGATACAGGTACACTACTTCCTAGACATAACTTCCCCCAGTACCACCTGTATACTGATGCAGGTACACTACTTCCTAGATATAACTTCCCCCAGTACCACCTGTATTCTGATGCAGGTACACTACTTCCTAGACATAACTTCCCCCCAGTACCATCTGTATACTGATTCAGGTACACTACTTCCTACACATAACTTCCCCCCAGTACCATCTGTATACTGATGCAGGTACACTACTTCCTAGACATAACTTCCCCTCGTACCACCTGTATACTGATGCAAGTACACTACTTCCTAGACATAACTTCCCCCCAGTACCATCTGTATACTGATGCAGGTACACTACTTCCTACACATAACTTCCCCCCAGTACCACCTGTATACTGATGCAGGTACACTACTTCCTAGACATAACTTCCCCCCAATACCACCTGTATTCTGATGCAGGTACACTACTTCCTACACATAACTTCCCCCCAATACCACCTGTATACTGATGCAGGTACACTACTTCCTAGACATAACTTCCCCCCAGTACCATCTGTATACTGATGCAGGTACACTACTTCCTACACATAACTTCCCCCCAGTACCATCTGTATACTGATGCAGGTACACTACTTCCTAGACATAACTTCCCCTCGTACCACCTGTATACTGATGCAGGTACACTACTTCCTACACATAACTTCCCCCCAGTACCATCTGTATACTGATGCAGGTACACTACTTACTAGACATATCTTCCCCAAGTACCACCTGTATACTGATGCAGGTACACTACTTCCTAGATATAACTTCCCCCCAGTACCATCTGTATACTGATGCAGGTACACTACTTCCTAGATATAACTTCCCCCCAGTACCATCTGTATACTGATGCAGGTACACAACTTCCTAGATATAACTTCCCCCCAGTACCATCTGTATACTGATGCAGGTACACTACTTACTAGACATAACTTCCCCCAGTACCACCTGTATACTGATGCAGGTACACTACTTCCTAGACATAACTTCCCCCAGTACCATCTGTATACTGATGCAGGTACATTACTTCCTACACATAACTTCCTAGACATAACTTCCCCCAGTACCATCTGTATACTGATGCAGGTACACTACTTCCTAGATATAACTTCCCCCAGTACCATCTGTATACTGATGCAGGTACACAACTTCCTAGATATAACTTCCCCCAGTACCACCTGTATACTGATGCAGGTACACTACTTCCTAGACATAACTTCCCCCAGTACCACCTGTATACTGATGCAGGTACACTACTTCCTAGATATAACTTCCCCCAGTACCACCTGTATACTGATGCAGGTACACTACTTACTAGACATAACTTCCGCCAGTACCACCTGTATACTGATGCAGGTACACTACCTCCTAGACATAACTTCCCCCAGTACCATCTGTATACTGATGCAGGTACACTACTTCCTAGACATAACTTCTGCCAGTACCACCTGTATACTGATGCAGGTACACTACCTCCTAGACATAATTTCCCCCAGTACCATCTGTATACTGATGCAGGTACACTACTTCCTAGACATAACTTCCCCCAGTACCATCTGTATACTGATGCAGGTACACTACTTACTAGACATAACTTCCGCCAGTACCACCTGTATACTGATGCAGGTACACTACTTCCTAGACATAACTTCCCCCAGTACCATCTGTATACTGATGCAGGTACACTACCTCCTAGACATAACTTCCCCCAGTACCACCTGTATACTGATGCAGGTACACTACTTCCTAGACATAACTTCCCCCAGTACCACCTGTATACTGATGCAGGTACACTACTTCCTACACATAACTTCTCCTAATACCACCTGTATACTGTACTGTATGATCTTCTTCAGAAATTTATTTTCTGGATGGACTTTTTCGTGGAGGCAACAACAACAAAGGAAAATCTGACCGGTTCCAGATATCCTGTAAGTTAATCATAAATTAAAAGAATATTTGATTTTTAAGTTATATTTCTCTTTAATGAATTGATTCTAAAAAGTTCATGTCTGTTTTTGTGACAAGTTTACATGTACAGTATGTCTGTGTTGCTGGTTGTCATTACAGTGTCACTGAGGGAGGAGGGCACATGTACAGTATGTCTGTGTTGCCGGTTGTCATTACAGTGTCACTGAGGAAGGAGGGCACATGTACAGTATGTCTGTGTTGCTGGTTGTCATTACAGTGTCACTGAGGGAGGAGGGCACATGTACAGTATGTCTGTGTTGCTGGTTGTCATTACAGTGTCACTGAGGGAGGAGGGCACATGTACAGTATGTCTGTGTTGCTGGTTGTCATTACAGTGTCACTGAGGTAGGAGGGCACATGTACAGTATGTCTGTGTTGCCGGTTGTCATTACAGTGTCACTGAGGAAGGAGGGCACATGTACAGTATGTCTGTGTTGCTGGTTGTCATTACAGTGTCACTGAGGGAGGAGGGCACATGTACAGTATGTCTGTGTTGCTGGTTGTTATTACAGTGACACTGAGGAAGGAGGGCACATGTACAGTATGTCTGTGTTGCTGGTTGTCATTACAGTGTCACTGAGGTAGGAGGGCACATGTACAGTATGTCTGTGTTGCTGGTTGTTATTACAGTGACACTGAGGAAGGAGGGCACATGTACAGTATGTCTGTGTTGCTGGTTGTCATTACAGTGTCACTGAGGTAGGAGGGCACATGTACAGTATGTCTGTGTTGCCGGTTGTCATTACAGTGTCACTGAGGAAGGAGGGCACATGTGCAGTATGTCTGTGTTGCTGGTTGTCATTACAGTGTCACTGAGGGAGGAGGGCACATGTACAGTATGTCTGTGTTGCTGGTTGTTATTACAGTGACACTGAGGAAGGAGGGCACATGTACAGTATGTCTGTGTTGCTGGTTGTCATTACAGTGTCACTGAGGTAGGAGGGCACATGTACAGTATGTCTGTGTTGCCGGTTGTCATTACAGTGTCACTGAGGAAGGAGGGCACATGTGCAGTATGTCTGTGTTGCTGGTTGTCATTACAGTGTCACTGAGGGAGGAGGGCACATGTACAGTATGTCTGTGTTGCCGGTTGTCATTACAGTGTCACTGAGGAAGGAGGGCACATGTGCAGTATGTCTGTGTTGCTGGTTGTCATTACAGTGTCACTGAGGAAGGAGGGCACATGTACAGTATGTCTGTGTTGCTGGTTGTCATTACAGTGTCACTGAGGGAGGAGGGCACATGTACAGTATGTCTGTGTTGCCGGTTGTCATTACAGTGTCACTGAGGGAGGAGGGCACATGTACAGTATGTCTGTGTTGCCGGTTGTTATTACAGTGTCACTGAGGGAGGAGGGCACATGTACAGTATGTAACATTTTCATTCAGGAAACATAGGTATTTTGGTATTTCTTAAGTTGTAGGCTTTTGCTTAGAACACCCCCATGTCCTAAAGACAAGATTAACATCTGTTTTCATTAGCTGTGAGAATTTCATCAGAGATGGAGATTCAGAGAAATATTGTAATAGCCAGAAATGTGTATGGATGTAGAAACACATGACACAGGCTGAGGTGTGAGGTCTGTTTAATAGTTCACTGTTGCTGATGACAAACCAACACCCTGTAACAATGAATACAATAATAAGCATATTGTCCATCACATAATGCACATAAAACCGAAGCAGATTAAACAGTAATTTTCTACACTTATAAGAAATTCATGATGTAATATTCAATGATAATAAGCTTAGATATATCATTTTAATTGTTACATTTACACATTTGATATAAGTATGGTACAATGACCATAATATCATATCAGCTTCTTCCAATAGTCAGAATCGCACATATATGACAATACAAGTAATACTGTAAAATGTGAAATTAATGCGTCTCCAAAAGAATGCGACCACTGGCCCATAGCCAAAAATGCGACTCAATATGAATGCGACACCCCCTCCTCTCAAGCATCAGTGGATTTATATCTAAACAAAATGTCTTCTGTCAGGTTTACAGGAGAATCCTCACCTTAATCCAACCTTACATTAATCCAATCACACACCAAATAGCGCCGCTTATTAGCGCTGAGTAGAGTGCTTCAGCTAAAACAATACGTGCGCGCTGGCTCGTGTCGGCCTTTGATGCAGTCGCAAAGAGCAAAGACACTGTGTTGGGTGGCATCTGTGTGGACTTGCATGTAAGATCAGTGATGACATGGGTGAGTAGAACGCTTGTCTTGACCCCAGCAGTGACAATTCACAGGATGTAATTAGTGTTTGAATGTCATTGTTCATATACTTGTTACAAGTGCTGCTCAATAAACATTGATGTGGAATACATAGTTGTTTCTTTTCAGCGTATGTCTAAGTAGGTATTTCTGCTATCCAAAATGTCTTATTGTTGATATAAATGCGATGTTTAATAATGCGAGCAAAGACCACTCGCATTTTTCGCATTTAATTCACGCTCGCGTTAATTTCACGTTTTACAGTATAATAATGGTGAATCCCACATGGTTAATCTGGGGGGTTACGCTGTGATAACCTGTTCATGATATTGTAAGAATTACACTGGGAACATAGGATGAAACAATCTGTACATTCAATCGATATATATATAAGTCTGCGGTGAAATTAATGGACACAGCCGATAATAGCACACACAGTCACACAGTCACACAATCGGTTCAGCTCTCCGTAACACGCCATACCTCTCTCCACCGTTACCCAAAACTAACCACCCCCCTACCACTATTACATCACAATCTCTTAGAGTTAATATACATGCACAGAATAGAATGCAAGGACACAAACAAGCCTCGAGTGTCAAAAGAAACCGGAAGTGATATTGTGGAATACGAAGGGATATAACTCTGTCGTAGGATAACGTAAAGGCCGCTAGAAAATGTGGTCAAAATATAATTTTACAATATGAAATGCATCATGAAGAAATTACTATTTACACTTATAAACACTACATCTAAACTATTATCAAATTATTAATAAACAATACAAGTTACTAATATTACATGCAATAAAATGAAAATGCACTCACCTCATACACACAAATATTAGTATTTGTGACATAATTAAGGAGATATAGACATTTATATATGTTGTGAAAGCCTAGTGGTTCAAGATAATGTATAGTTGACTAACAACTCTCCATTCCTGAAAAATAATGGAGCGTTCTAACAATAGAATGACGTCACAGCGTAAGCATGATGATGGGGAGACCGAGGTGGAGTTAGCTTTGGTGTCCTTTTGGTCCGTTCTGTTTGCTGTCCAGTCTCAATCTGTCACTTGTCAACTGTCAGATGTGTCGGGTAAGTTGATCACGTGCCTCGATCACACCCAGACACATACGATCCGATGTACGATGTACGAGTGTGGAAGCACCAATCACTACATTCCTCCCTCTTTTCTGGACCTGACCCCCCCCCATTTTTGTATCAGTGAGTGTTGTTAAGGGAGGATCTAACAGGTGACCACCAAAACATGAGAAAATCCCTGCAGGGTTATGCATCAGTGTTGTGCTATCAACCGAGACAGTTTGCGTAACTCATGGTTAATATTAGTCATACGTCTTAAATAAGAAAATCCCCAACCAGATTGTTTAGTGGCAACCGAGTTGGTTCACGTAACTTAAATAGACGACGAAGCTGCTATTAGATCCTAGAATCTAGACCGGATCAGTGGACTCAGTTCCAGTCCTGACCAAGTCAGATTAGAACAATGTTTCTATGAGAATCCTAGAATCTAGACCGGATCGGTGGACTCAGTTCCAGTCCTGACCAAGTCAGATTAAGGAATCCCATTCATACAGGGTGAATAATCATACTCTGTAGAGCTGCCTAGCATTGACATAGGCACGCTCCAAGATGTTGGCTGTGGTACTTTGTCGGTCAACTTCACCCAGTAGTATTGGGCTGTTGACACCGCAGCGACCTGGGCGAGGCCACAGATATGGGGCATCGGTTTCCAAGATGAAGCGTTTGGCGTTCAGGAACCGCTGACAGTTGTTGGTTGTCAAAGCTGTCCACCATTCCGGTATATCCAAACCATGTCTCAGGGAAGTGCTGGGTCCATAGTGCAACTTCTTTAAATGATCCAGAGAAGCAGTGGAGATGAAATCTCTGGGTTGATGGTACTTCAGCAGCTTTTGCAATTCTGAGGCATTTTTGTAATGGAGCCTGTTGCTATATGTCTGCTTAAGTAACCCTGAGGTGAAGGATAATGGGCTTCGTTGATGGTGCCAGCTTGAAGAGCTGCCCTAGTACTTGGCCTTGGCATTCCCAATTCCCCACTGTGAAGTCCAAGCCAATTTCCCCGAAGGCGATCACATCTTTGGACGATAGCAAACGTCGTAGCTTGTCCAGTTGGTCGGGGTCCATGGCCTGCACATTCTTTGGGTGGAATCCTATGGCTATTTTCCAACATGGATGAAAGGTTGTATCTTGTGGCCAGGTTGGGGTTTGCAAAAGATCTGTAATGCCCTTTGAAGGTTGATGTCTACCTCTTGTGGTTGGCCAGCCTCATCCAGGACTTCTTCCAGGGGTGTGGCAGCATCCTGATGGAGCCTGCTGCTCGTCCTGTCAGAATGGAAGTGGGTATCAAAACCCCTGGGAAGCCTCTCTGGGTGTCTCTGTGGGTGGAGTTGGTGGAGTCGAAGTTCCGGGAAGCTCTGCTGTTTGAGTGGGTTGCACAGATGGCAATGGACCTGACAGTGGCAGAAGGTTCCCAAAGTTCCTAAAATGATTTCGGACTCCATCCAAGGTGACGTCCAGAAGGTCAACCAGGATCCTCTAATGGATCAGACAGGCAGGCCTATCGAGCGACAGGTTGAAGGAATCCAGCGGTAGAGGCCATCCTTTGATCTGACAGTAACAGTGTGTAGGGAGGAGGAAGGACTACCAACCTCCTGGTAATGACAGTAACAGTGTGTAGGGAGGAGGAAGGAC